TGTATTTTCTTAGTATTGCGTTCAGTGCAGTTTGGTGGCGGTCCCTTTATTGTAGACGGGGCCTGGCTAAGGTAAGGGCTTGCGTGTCGCGAAAAATGCTTTTTTTATTATTATTTTTTATTTTTTATTTTTTAAAGACCGTCACTAATTCGGCGTCGGGGACAGCGTTCCGAGGCTCCAGGAAGTCGGCGCGGGAGAAAATGTTTCTTAAGGCGCTGTCTGTCGTTTTGAATGCTATTTTGCTCTGCGAATCCGCGTTTGGGGGTTTTAATTGTGTATGGGGTGGCCCTTCTATATGTCGGGCTTTGTTGTCGAAATGCGGGAAGGGTTTCCAAACTGCGAGAAAGGACGTTTGAAGTGATTGCTATTTTGTACTGGGAAACCGCGTTCGGGGCGTTTAGTTGTGTATGTGGATGTCGGGCTTTGTTGCCAAAATCAGGGAAGGGTTGCCAAAAGGCGAGAAGGGGCGTTTGAAGTGATTGCATTTTGTTCTGGGAATCCACGTTCGGGGCTTTTAGTTGTGCATGCGGTGACCCTTCGACAAGTCGGGCTTACAACTATTGTTCGGTTATTCAGAGAAATAGAAATAGACGACAGTGGTTCACTGAAACACGCAAAGATATTTGTAGTTGTCCAGTCCTCGTCGCCGCCACAGTGCCGCGAAATCTTGAACTGTTATGATTACAATTATAAACTTACATATACACACATACACCCCCATACATATGCGCATATGCATAAGTACATATACACATATAAATGCATATGTATATATTATAGTGCTTTGATTGCTGCAAGTGTACCCGGACTTTCATTTATGCCTTTTTCGAGGGTGTTGAATCGGTGTATGAGGTATGATTCACGTTGTTCACGTTCCCGGTTTGATTTAAATCCTGTTTCTAAAAGTGTGACTGACAATTTGTCGAAGGAGTGGCCGGGAAGGTTAAGGTGTTTTGATAGAGGTAGATTCGGCGCTGATTTCGCGTGGGCTCTGTGATTATTGAAACGAATCCTAAAGGGTGTTTCCGTTTGTCCGATGTATTGCATGCCGCACACGTTGCATTCAAGTAGATATACCACATTAGGGGAATCGCATGTTAGATTTCCTCGTATGTTAATTGAAAAGTTGGATTGTGTGCTGCTTGCCTTGCTTGTATCTCGCATCGCTTTGCATACAAAACATCGAGGCTTCAGACAAGGTCGGCATGAACTGTCGGAAGTTGAAGTATTGATTTGGGAGTTTACAAGTGTGTCTTTGAGGTTGCGTGTTCGTCGGTAAACGACGCCAGGAGCCGATGGGAATGCACGTTTTAGACGTTCACTTTGTTCCAGTATGTTGTAATGTCGTTTAAGGATTTTGTTAACGTTGGGGAAATTCGTGCTGTATGTTAAACATAGGTGTGTCTGTTGCAGGTTGTGTTGTGGTGGCCGCTTCATCAGAAGGTCATCACGCTGAAGTTTTCTAGCTTTTTGAATAGCGTCATCAATTACATGTGGAGGATATTTCTGTTTTTCGAGCACGAGTTTAAGCTTTTGTGAGCTCGCGTGGAAGTCAGTGTCTTTTGAGCAAATTCGCTTAAAACGGTGGGCCTGGCCGTATGGAATGCTGTTTTTACAATGGCGTGGATGATCACTTTGGTAATGGAGGTACTGTTGTCGATCTGTTGGTTTGCGGTAGAGGGTTGTGGAAAGTTTATCATCTTCTATTATTATGGTAACGTCAAGGAAATTTACGGTTACTTGTGAGTAGGTGTGTGTGAAGTGTATGTTTGGATGCACAGTATTGTAAGTATCGATAAAGTTTAGCAGTTCATCCTCGCTGTGAGTCCAAATAAGAAAATGTCGTCAATGTACTTTCTGTATAGGAGTGGTTTCAAGGGAGTTTGGGACAAAAATTCGGTTTCTAGTTCTCCCATAAAAATGTTAGCATAGTTTGGTGCGAGTTTGGTACCCATGGCGGTGCCGCTGATTTGTCGAAAGTACTCTTGGTTGAACTCGAATGAGTTCAGTTCTAATACAAGTCTTGTGAGGCTTGCGATGGCAGAGAAATCTGGGGTGTCAGGTTGTCTATGGTTTGTGTATGTGTTTTTTAATGCCGCTATGCCATCATCGTGGGGAATATTTGTATAAAGTGAAGACACATCAAGGGTAACTAAGTATGAGTGTTTCGGAATGCGCAGGTCTGCAATATCTCGAAGAAAATGTGAGGTGTCTTTTACGTACGACCCGAGAGTGCACGGAATGTGGCCTATTAATTTGTCTACGTACCCTGATATGGGCTCGGTTACTGTGCCTATACCTGAAATGATTGGTCGGCCTGGATTACCGGGTTTATGAATTTTTGGGAGTATGTAGAAGCGCCCTGGACGAGGGTGTACTGGCCGCATTAATTTGTGCTCACTGCGTGTTATTCTTCCCTCGTCCAACAGCTTCTTCAGTTCTGTTGCTACAATACGCGTGTATTTCTCTGTCGGGTCCCCTGGGAGGCGTTCGTAGAATTTTAAGTCGTTTAGTTGACGGTATGCTTCTTGTAGGTAGTCGGTTGTATTTAGGACTACAATTGCCCCTCCTTTGTCAGCGGGCTTTATTATTATATCAGTCCTAGATGTTAGGTTTTGCATACTCTTTTTCTCGGATTTTGTCATGTTTTCCCGCTTTCCCTTCTGTCTGTGATACTCCTGTAATATATCTTTCTGGACCGCGTTAATATATAAGTCCAGACACTTGTCTCGATGACTATTTGGTGTCCAATCGCTTGTTTGGTGGCGGGGAGTCTTTGGAATGTTAGACGGCTTGTCCAAGAAATATTCGTGCAGCCTCAATTTTCTAGCGAAGTTGTCCCAAACTCCCTTGAAACCACTCCTATACAGGCGGTACATTGACGATATTTTTCTTATTTGGACTCACAGCGAGGATGAACTGCTAAACTTTATCGATACTTACAATACTGTGCATCCAAACATACACTTCACACACACCTACTCACAAGTAACCGTAAATTTCCTTGACGTTACCATAATAATAGAAGATGATAAACTTTCCACAACCCTCTACCGCAAACCAACAGATCGACAACAGTACCTCCATTACCAAAGTGATCATCCACGCCATTGTAAAAACAGCATTCCATACGGCCAGGCCCACCGTTTTAAGCGAATTTGCTCAAAAGACACTGACTTCCACGCGAGCTCACAAAAGCTTAAACTCGTGCTCGAAAAACAGAAATATCCTCCACATGTAATTGATGACGCTATTCAAAAAGCTAGAAAACTTCAGCGTGATGACCTTCTGATGAAGCGGCCACCACAACACAACCTGCAACAGACACACCTATGTTTAACATACAGCACGAATTTCCCCAACGTTAACAAAATCCTTAAACGACATTACAACATACTGGAACAAAGTGAACGTCTAAAACGTGCATTCCCATCGGCTCCTGGCGTCGTTTACCGACGAACACGCAACCTCAAAGACACACTTGTAAACTCCCAAATCAATACTTCAACTTCCGACAGTTCATGCCGACCTTGTCTGAAGCCTCGATGTTTTGTATGCAAAGCGATGCGAGATACAAGCAAGGCAAGCAGCACACAATCCAACTTTTCAATTAACATACGAGGAAATCTAACATGCGATTCCCCTAATGTGGTATATCTACTTGAATGCAACGTGTGCGGCATGCAATACATCGGACAAACGGAAACACCCTTTAGGATTCGTTTCAATAATCACAGAGCCCACGCGAAATCAGCGCCGAATCTACCTCTATCAAAACACCTTAACCTTCCCGGCCACTCCTTCGACAAATTGTCAGTCACACTTTTAGAAACAGGATTTAAATCAAACCGGGAACGTGAACAACGTGAATCATACCTCATACACCGATTCAACACCCTCGAAAAAGGCATAAATGAAAGTCCGGGTACACTTGCAGCAATCAAAGCACTATAATATATACATATGCATTTATATGTGTATATGTACTTATGCATATGCGCATATGTATGGGGGTGTATGTGTGTATATGTAAGTTTATAATTGTAATCATAACAGTTCAAGATTTCGCGGCACTGTGGCGGCGACGAGGACTGGACAACTACAAATATCTTTGCGTGTTTCAGTGAACCACTGTCGTCTATTTCTATTTCTCTGAATAACCGAACAATAGTTGTAAGCCCGACTTGTCGAAGGGTCACCGCATGCACAACTAAAAGCCCCGAACGTGGATTCCCAGAACAAAATGCAATCACTTCAAACGCCCCTTCTCGCCTTTTGGCAACCCTTCCCTGATTTTGGCAACAAAGCCCGACATCCACATACACAACTAAACGCCCCGAACGCGGTTTCCCAGTACAAAATAGCAATCACTTCAAACGTCCTTTCTCGCAGTTTGGAAACCCTTCCCGCATTTCGACAACAAAGCCCGACATATAGAAGGGCCACCCCATACACAATTAAAACCCCCAAACGCGGATTCGCAGAGCAAAATAGCATTCAAAACGACAGACAGCGCCTTAAGAAACATTTTCTCCCGCGCCGACTTCCTGGAGCCTCGGAACGCTGTCCCCGACGCCGAATTAGTGACGGTCTTTAAAAAATAAAAAATAAAAAATAATAATAAAAAAAGCATTTTTCGCGACACGCAAGCCCTTACCTTAGCCAGGCCCCGTCTACAATAAAGGGACCGCCACCAAACTGCACTGAACGCAATACTAAGAAAATACACACTGACGACGCCACTCGCGAAGCACAGTGGAACCTGGAACTTTCTGGATATCCTTTCCTCTCTCGTTTTTCAAACTCTTTCTTTCTTTCTGTTTTTTTTTTTTTTTTTTTTTTTTTTTTTTTTTCCGTTCCTTCCCTCTCATTTTTTACCCAAAATACTATAAATGTGAGCGCAAACAGAATGTACCATGACTCCTGATGAAGGCCAGACTCTGGCCGAAACTGTCGAATTAAACACTTCCGTTGTTACCGTTCTCTTGGAGGATCTACTTGACTTATTGCAACGCTACGGCCATTTTCGCCACCATGCCTGCCTACTCCAGACCGGCCACCGGCGCACCTCCAGCGGAAAAAGTATCACGGAAATTTCCCAAACATGCACCAAGTACAGCTATCATTGGAAATTCACAAACGAGATACCTTCATCGACACTTCAACCCCTACGACAAGTCAACACCGGCATTCATAACGATCCGCGGAGCATCCACTTTCGATATTGAAGATGAGCTGGCAAATGTGCCACGCTCAGTAACCACGCTCGTTTTCCACGTGGGGACGAGCGAATTGGAACTGTACGGGCCGGATGAGTCCCTTCGCCGCCTTCGCCGCCTGGTAAATAACACTCTTCAAAGACGCCCGGAACTTGACAGACTAATTGTCTCATGTGTGCCACCACGATCCACCAACAGGCGCCTACAACGTTCCAACGAGAAATTCGTCCACCGCTTCAACAGGGAAGCTCGTCACTTTAATGAGACAATCAAGACGTACTGCCGGAAACCGGGCAAGGTGTCATACATCGACTATGAATTCGACCAACTGCCAGCCAGACGTTTCCTTGCTGCGGACGGACTACATCCGAGCTTCATGGGGGTAGCACTCATTGCTCAAACGCTGAAAGGGGCAATATATCGCGGGAACCTCGAGCCTGCCGCGGGGTGGTCATCCCAACCTACCACTCCCATCCAAATGCGAACAGAAGAATATCACCAGGGAACCAGAAGTCACCAACACGTTCCCGGAGCACTGCAGACCTCTGACACCACGACAGAGTTCCCAACGATCGTTGAAAGTATAACACCTCGACGCCCGATACAGCCCACCGTCATCGACAGCAGTACCGCACCTTCCCAAGAGGTGAAACCTGCCGACCAACAGAGGCGTGTTGCTCTATTGCCGACCCCACCCAAGAAACATCGAGCAACACGGACATCCTGCCCTCAACGCTCGCTCGGAGCTCAACGCCTGCCAGCAGCTCGACGCCCGGATCATCCTTTCAACGACGAAGGCCTACACAACACACCTACAACCTGCGGACTTCTGCAGTGCCGTCCCCGCGCCCAAAAGAAGACTGACTTCCAATCTGTAAGTCCAGCTCTCTGCTCTCCGGTTACAGTGCCACTTTTCTTAAAGTAAGAAAACTCACGGATAAACGAATCAGACATGCAATGCATAGATCGACGCTGCAAGTATACCTAAATGCTAGAATAGCCCCCAAAGGAATGACACTCTCCATCACCCCTGCCGCCACAAATCTCGACGAAAACAACCAGGCCGCATGGCAAAACGTCCTTCTAGAAGCATCACTCAAGCTAACAGAAATTGCAATCAACCACAGTGAAAAACAAGTAAAGAAACTGACCAACATGACCAACGCCATTCTGCGCGACAACAACCACTTATCAAACGAGGAAATCACCCTACTAACAGAGTTCGAACAGAATAAATACCAAGAGGTCAAGAAAACTAAAATACAGAAACTTAAAAGAGACAATGTTTCCAACCCCACACTACCAGACGCTACACTGTATGACTACAACACATTCACCCACGAGGAAACTCACGGCACAAACAAGAAAACACCTATCAACACTCACTACGACGCTGCGATTATAAACCTATCAGACACGAGTTTGTCAACTGATGAAGTAAAACTATTATCTAAAGGACTAAACTTCTGCCCAACTAGAAAATCTTTCGATGAGTTTCACTTACTCCGAGACCTCGACAACTTCGCTAGAAAATTGAGGCTGCACGAATATTTCTTGGACAAGCCGTCTAACATTCCAAAGACTCCCCGCCACCAAACAAGCGATTGGACACCAAATAGTCATCGAGACAAGTGTCTGGACTTATATATTAACGCGGTCCAGAAAGATATATTACAGGAGTATCACAGACAGAAGGGAAAGCGGGAAAACATGACAAAATCCGAGAAAAAGAGTATGCAAAACCTAACATCTAGGACTGATATAATAATAAAGCCCGCTGACAAAGGAGGGGCAATTGTAGTCCTAAATACAACCGACTACCTACAAGAAGCATACCGTCAACTAAACGACTTAAAATTCTACGAACGCCTCCCAGGGGACCCGACAGAGAAATACACGCGTATTGTAGCAACAGAACTGAAGAAGCTGTTGGACGAGGGAAGAATAACACGCAGTGAGCACAAATTAATGCGGCCAGTACACCCTCGTCCAGGGCGCTTCTACATACTCCCAAAAATTCATAAACCCGGTAATCCAGGCCGACCAATCATTTCAGGTATAGGCACAGTAACCGAGCCCATATCAGGGTACGTAGACAAATTAATAGGCCACATTCCGTGCACTCTCGGGTCGTACGTAAAAGACACCTCACATTTTCTTCGAGATATTGCAGACCTGCGCATTCCGAAACACTCATACTTAGTTACCCTTGATGTGTCTTCACTTTATACAAATATTCCCCACGATGATGGCATAGCGGCATTAAAAAACACATACACAAACCATAGACAACCTGACACCCCAGATTTCTCTGCCATCGCAAGCCTCACAAGACTTGTATTAGAACTGAACTCATTCGAGTTCAACCAAGAGTACTTTCGACAAATCAGCGGCACCGCCATGGGTACCAAACTCGCACCAAACTATGCTAACATTTTTATGGGAGAACTAGAAACCGAATTTTTGTCCCAAACTCCCTTGAAACCACTCCTATACAGGCGGTACATTGACGATATTTTTCTTATTTGGACTCACAGCGAGGATGAACTGCTAAACTTTATCGATACTTACAATACTGTGCATCCAAACATACACTTCACACACACCTACTCACAAGTAACCGTAAATTTCCTTGACGTTACCATAATAATAGAAGATGATAAACTTTCCACAACCCTCTACCGCAAACCAACAGATCGACAACAGTACCTCCATTACCAAAGTGATCATCCACGCCATTGTAAAAACAGCATTCCATACGGCCAGGCCCACCGTTTTAAGCGAATTTGCTCAAAAGACACTGACTTCCACGCGAGCTCACAAAAGCTTAAACTCGTGCTCGAAAAACAGAAATATCCTCCACATGTAATTGATGACGCTATTCAAAAAGCTAGAAAACTTCAGCGTGATGACCTTCTGATGAAGCGGCCACCACAACACAACCTGCAACAGACACACCTATGTTTAACATACAGCACGAATTTCCCCAACGTTAACAAAATCCTTAAACGACATTACAACATACTGGAACAAAGTGAACGTCTAAAACGTGCATTCCCATCGGCTCCTGGCGTCGTTTACCGACGAACACGCAACCTCAAAGACACACTTGTAAACTCCCAAATCAATACTTCAACTTCCGACAGTTCATGCCGACCTTGTCTGAAGCCTCGATGTTTTGTATGCAAAGCGATGCGAGATACAAGCAAGGCAAGCAGCACACAATCCAACTTTTCAATTAACATACGAGGAAATCTAACATGCGATTCCCCTAATGTGGTATATCTACTTGAATGCAACGTGTGCGGCATGCAATACATCGGACAACGGAAACACCCTTTAGGATTCGTTTCAATAATCACAGAGCCCACGCGAAATCAGCGCCGAATCTACCTCTATCAAAACACCTTAACCTTCCCGGCCACTCCTTCGACAAATTGTCAGTCACACTTTTAGAAACAGGATTTAAATCAAACCGGGAACGTGAACAACGTGAATCATACCTCATACACCGATTCAACACCCTCGAAAAAGGCATAAATGAAAGTCCGGGTACACTTGCAGCAATCAAAGCACTATAATATATACATATGCATTTATATGTGTATATGTACTTATGCATATGCGCATATGTATGGGGTGTATGTGTGTATATGTAAGTTTATAATTGTAATCATAACAGTTCAAGATTTCGCGGCACTGTGGCGGCGACGAGGACACAACCTGCAACAGACACACCTATGTTTAACATACAGCACGAATTTCCCCAACGTTAACAAAATCCTTAAACGACATTACAACATACTGGAACAAAGTGAACGTCTAAAACGTGCATTCCCATCGGCTCCTGGCGTCGTTTACCGACGAACACGCAACCTCAAAGACACACTTGTAAACTCCCAAATCAATACTTCAACTTCCGACAGTTCATGCCGACCTTGTCTGAAGCCTCGATGTTTTGTATGCAAAGCGATGCGAGATACAAGCAAGGCAAGCAGCACACAATCCAACTTTTCAATTAACATACGAGGAAATCTAACATGCGATTCCCCTAATGTGGTATATCTACTTGAATGCAACGTGTGCGGCATGCAATACATCGGACAAACGAAACACCCTTTAGGATTCGTTTCAATAATCACAGAGCCCACGCGAAATCAGCGCCGAATCTACCTCTATCAAAACACCTTAACCTTCCCGGCCACTCCTTCGACAAATTGTCAGTCACACTTTTAGAAACAGGATTTAAATCAAACCGGGAACGTGAACAAACGTGAATCATACCTCATACACCGATTCAACACCTCGAAAAAGGCATAAATGAAAGTCCGGGTACACTTGCAGCAATCAAAGCACTATAATATATACATATGCATTTATATGTGTATATGTACTTATGCATATGCGCATATGTATGGGGGTGTATGTGTGTATATGTACGTTTATAATTGTAATCATAACAGTTCAAGATTTCGCGGCACTGTGGCGGCGACGAGGACTGGACAACTACAAATATCTTTGCGTGTTTCAGTGAACCACTGTCGTCTATTTCTATTTCTCTGAATAACCGAACAATAGTTGTAAGCCCGACTTGTCGAAGGGTCACCGCATGCACAACTAAAAGCCCCGAACGTGGATTCCCAGAACAAAATGCAATCACTTCAAACGCCCCTTCTCGCCTTTTGGCAACCCTTCCCTGATTTTGGCAACAAAGCCCGACATCCACATACACAACTAAACGCCCCGAACGCGGTTTCCCAGTACAAAATAGCAATCACTTCAAACGTCCTTTCTCGCAGTTTGGAAACCCTTCCCGCATTTCGACAACAAAGCCCGACATATAGAAGGGCCACCCCATACACAATTAAAAACCCCCAAACGCGGATTCGCAGAGCAAAATAGCATTCAAAACGACAGACAGCGCCTTAAGAAACATTTTCTCCCGCGCCGACTTCCTGGAGCCTCGGAACGCTGTCCCCGACGCCGAATTAGTGACGGTCTTTAAAAATAAAAAATAAAAAATAATAATAAAAAAAGCATTTTTCGCGACACGCAAGCCCTTACCTTAGCCAGGCCCCGTCTACAATAAAGGGACCGCCACCAAACTGCACTGAACGCAATACTAAGAAAATACACACTGACGACGCCACTCGCGAAGCACAGTGGAACCTGGAACTTTCTGGATATCCTTTCCTCTCTCGTTTTTCAAACTCTTTCTTTCTTTCTGTTTTTTTTTTTTTTTTTTTTTTTTTTTTTTTCCGTTCCTTCCCTCTCATTTTTTACCCAAAATACTATAAATGTGAGCGCAAACAGAATGTACCATGACTCCTGATGAAGGCCAGACTCTGGCCGAAACTGTCGAATTAAACACTTCCGTTGTTACCGTTCTCTTGGAGGATCTACTTGACTTATTGCAACGCTACGGCCATTTTCGCCACCATGCCTGCCTATATATATATATATATATATATATATATATATATATATATAGTGGGAGTAATAATTCAATGGCCCAGTTAGTCTTCGTGAAGGTATGGGATATGGCACAACGGGAGCGTTGTCAACAAGGATAAATATAATTATTTCCCAACAGTTTCAGGAGGGGTCCTTCCTTCATCAGGGGATGAGTTGGATGAGTTATCCCCTGATGAAGGAAGGACCCCTCCCGAAACTGTTGAGAAATAAATATATTTATTCTTGTTAACAACGCTCCCGTTGTGCCATATCATATATATATATATATATATATATATATATATATATATATATATATATATATATTATATATATATATATATATATATACATATATATATATATATATATATATATATATATATATATATATATATATACACACCGGCTGACGAGCTGCGCCAACATATGGTGATAAAATTTCATTAAAATATAAAAAAATAATAAGGAGTAACTCACGGGCAGGGCTGCCAACTGTAGAGGAGTTACCTTATACACATTTCACTCGTCATTAATCAGCGAAAAAGGTAGATCCGCGTGACATATCTAAAAGTTACATTCCTGGAAGGATCCGAATCATAGATGTCTCAATTTCGATGTCACCAGCACCAAAGATGATATATAACGCCAAACATTCTTGTGCTAGGTTTTTTTTTTCTCGGAATGTTTTTTTTCTCCCTTCATCATCTGCCATCTGGTCATTGCGTGGAGGGGCTTTTACAATTTGCGATGGTAGTCGGCTTCAGTTATTAAAGCGAAAGCTTTAGATATCCGAACATAACGAAAAGTGATGACCGATGTCAGCACGAGTGTTGCAAAAAATAATCATGATATACCGACGCCACCTTATGATGTCGTTCTGTCATGACCTAGCGCCAAAATTTTTGGCGTCATCATGAAGTCATTGTGATGTCAATGTAGCAGAACAGAGTGACGTCATATGATGGCGTCATTAGATGTTATCCACGCATGACCTTAAATGGTCCTATCCTGGGGGCACCTTATACGTCTGAGTGTCGTAGAGTGTTCCTTATCTGTACGTTATCATTGATACAAGGTGCTATTTCTATGTTTAGGGTAAAACGTAGAGTTATAAAAAAGTTGTGTAGGGTAAAAAACTAGAGAGTCTTTGATCTTGGAGTATGGTATTTTCCAAAAATTGATTTTCAACACGGCCCACGGGTGTTATATTGGGCTACAGCTACGTTAATCCGTATTCATAAATAATTACATGATCTATTCAGTGCTCGAAAGTAAGGAGCATATTCAAAGAACGCTGCAACACTAAACAAATTACTGTACCTGAATGAGTCCTAGTTGCAAAAAACTTTTGAGTTCGAAACTAGAAGACCAAGTGTACTACCGTTATCAAGAAGGCGCGTAAATTTTATACTACTAGTCGTAAAAACTAGTAATATAACTCACAAAAAAACTCACAAAAAACGCGTTTTTCGCTTTTCTGCGAAAAACATGACTTTTTTTCTTTTTCAATGACTGTTGTTCAAAGGGGTGATGGAAATAGTCAAGCTGCGGTTATGCAGTTTAATCTTGCCATGCTCGATTATTATTTAAGTTATTTCATTACCCTTGCGGGTCAGACAACGCATTACAGAGTGGAGTGGCTTACAGGTTAATAACAATACCAGGAGCTGAGCGTACCAAAACCACGATATGATTATTAGAGGCACTGTAGTGGAGCGATCGGGAAATAATTTTGACAACCTGGTTTTTTTACCACGCACTGGCATCGCACAGTACATGAGCCTCTAGAATTTCGCCTCCAATAATATGCGACCACACCCACCGGAATCGATCCCGTGACCTTCGAGTGAGCAGCCGAGCCGATTAACCACTGCTCCCCCACGGTACATCGGTTTTATTTTTTATTTATTTATCTACAAAATACTGCAGACCATGTGGCCCATGCAGGAGGGGCAGGGTACAACATAAATACATCTACAAAGCACAATTGAATATCATAAACAAATTGGGTAACAATAAAAACAACTCCAAATAAAATATAATTAGGAAATAGTGAAGAAGTAATTTTGTATTGATTCAGTCGAGTCCAGATGATCAATAGGTATTAGGTTGGTTCCATTTCGCTATGGTGCGGGGAAAAAAAGAATATTTAAAGAGTTTAGATCTGGCAACATAAGGGGAGAGTGTGAGGGGATCAGAATGACGGCTTTTTCTAGTCTCAGAAAGGGTCATGTAAGGACTGGGATCTATAAAAAATTTACGATTTAACAAAAAATGGAGGAACTTCAGTCGGGATATTTTGCGCCTCATTCGAAGTGTGTGAAAGCCGTTAGAACGTATAAGATCCGTTACAGAACCCTCACGGCTGTATTTAGAAAAAATGAATCGCATGGCTTTCCTCTGTATTCTTTCAAGACAATTAATATTGGTTTTGGTGAGAGGATCCCAAATAATGGAGGCGTATTCTAACTCGGGTCTGATAAAAGACAAAAGTCACAGATACGAGAAAAGTTGTACCGAGATAGGTAATATTTAACGAGCATTATTCGGTAGGAATGCAATGACTGACTAATTCAAAAGGCTATTCACCCGATAGTAAGCCAATATAATATATACAATACAACATATAAAAAATGTAAGAATAAGAAAGACAGAGAATATTTTGGTAAATGAAATATCATTGTAGCTGAAATCACATGTATGTATGTGGTGTGAATCTTATGATGTTTCGAAAATAAATTTCATTATCAGCGTTCACTTTAACGTATATTCGAATGAAGCCACTCAAGCCTAGATGACCCCTCTGAGGCGGACCATTGATGCACACGCATACACCTTCAACCATACTGCACGCTTTTACTTGGTCGCCTACACGCAACCGTAACCAGAAGAGTACGCGTGAACGCCTGTGTGCGTGCACGATGGATGACTGCATGACGGTCGTAAAGCGACCACGATGCTAGCTTTCCTCGCGGCTGGCTCAGTCAGGTCGCCTCTTGATGGGCGCACTCCAGCCGCAGTCATCTCAATCCAAGCACGAACAGTCGGCGGTCAGTAAGGCAGCAGCGTGGCCAGCAACGGAGTCAAGTGAGTGTTATATCGTGTTTTACCGAAGTGGTGACACGGTGTGCCGGCTGTAAATCGTTATTGACGGGCGGTTCTGAAAAATTCGTACGACATTTCGCATTTTGTGTGGAGGGTCATTGCATTCAATGACGACGCCAACGAACGAAGTCGATTTGCCGCACAGCCTGTTCAATTTATTAGCCTGTTGAACAAAAATTATGATAAAAGCGAGGGAAAAAAAGATACCAGCTGAGAAAATGTAATGGCATTCAAAAGATGTGACGGTTTGGGTGCGTGTGACGTTAGTCGATGAAGAGTAGAGGAAAAGCAATAATAGAGTGTAATGCTAGCTAGTTTACCGAAAAATTGTGGTGAATCTGGGAGAAGGAAGAAAAAAACGAGTGAATACAGCAAAGAACGCGAGACTTAGGACTTGTTTGTTTTTCGCACATGATCCAAAATAAGGACGTCAGTGTCTCTTGGACCTCTTGGTACAATTGCGAATGCCTAGCTTTAGTTAGCGGTGTGGGACAGTTTTTCCTATTGTGCTTTGCGATAGTGTGCTAGTGCTGCACCTTTGCATACTATGAATAAATAACGCAGAAACCAGACATAAAAGTTTTAAAAAACTAGATCAAGAACGTAGGGAAAATTCGTTCCATGAAAATAAACGAAATGCTTAAGACTGGCTACCGCCAAGCTGTACACCTAAAAAATACTGACTATGAATAGTGTGCAACAACGTGCGATCATGAACATAAATTGAAGTTAATAGACCATTTCCATCGATGTCTTCTCGCTTCAATCATTGATCAGACTAACCACTTTATGCTCTTCACAACGCCAAAAGATGAAGGCGGAACAAGGGGTAAGATTGCTTTGTTTTACAGAAGACACGATGGGCATTACGGGAGTCTACACCATTCTCCTGACTGGCTTTGTCACAACTATCATTGCAGTGGACTACTACGGTAAGGTGTTAGTGAACTAGTCTATAGTGGATAAAAAAACATACTTTTTTGTATACTTGCTTCAGCGCCGCAAAAATGGCGTTTTGGCTGGTCGTGGGTGCCTCAGTAGCAGTATGTTATGTCCGACTTTACGCGTATTATGGAAGTGTTACTTTACCCCGAGTATCAGCCAGTAAGTTTAGAGTGATTGTCGAAAAAAGAACTATTTGATTTAATTATGTTTTTTTGAGTTAGTCTATCGAATAACAGTGACAAAAGAAATAATAAAGGAGAAAGGTTTTTAAAACACAGTGTCGCCACAAGAGCGATGCAATCAATGCAATAGCAAGAAATTCTAATGTCATATGAAAGAAGGTCAGCAGCGCTACACTTTTGGATGTGATATTACCGAGCTCTACAGTTAATGTGTCGTCTTACTTGTAAAAGCCAGGAACTGAGGCGAAGTGGAGAGCGAGATAATGCAAAGCTAGGAGAGCATGGAGATGGTTTAGCTCTGAAGGAACCTCCTCTCCATTCAAATAACTTCATTCTTTCAACATCGAACTCACTTCCCTCCTACCCTCGCTTCCACTATACTATTCTATACACACCCTCTCCTATTACTTCTTCCTCGCGCTACCTTTCCTTCTCTACCCCTTGCTATGCTTTATCATGCACGGCTATGCTATCTATGTGTTTCTGTGCCCTTACGTATTCTCTTCTTCGCACAGTTTAAACTTGACTGCTGGATTACACTTCGCCCGCTATAGCTCGGCATTAAGCGCTTCGCTTTAAAACTCGGGTGTAAAGGAATATGGCTACACCAGGCAGAGAGGTGGTTTTGGTACAATGTAAATGTCTCAACGCAATGCGGCGAGAGCACAGCACGCAGATTTACATACGAGACGTTTGTTTATGTCTGCCGAGATGGTACATGCGCAAGCGCTCGGGACCATGCCCCAACGTTCACACTTACTGTGTGAGTGACGCAGCCCCCCTCCCCTACCCCGGTTTTCATGCTCTTTCGTCCGAGTATTGGCGGGAGGAGCATTCCGTCTCTGCTTGAGCAGCAATGAACGGCAGGCGTCGCAGGCATTGATGTTAACGCATGCGCACAGCGCAAGACGGAAATGGACGGCTCGTTTCAACTGCGCTTCAGCCGCATACGTCACTTCCGCCCCCGTGCCCGCGGGTAGAATATGTGATGCGAGATGCGCCATTATTTATTTAAACTTCTACTGAAGATGACGGCAACAGCAAACACTCATCGAGATTATCGACGTAGTTTTTGTCGCAATGAAAACGCAGTTTTAACTTTATACATTCATTCATACAGGGGTAAGAAAGCTTACCAATATTTTAAGACGAGATCCTTAGATGTATTCGCAAATGGGAAGTCGGCAGGTACCACCCCACCACGTCGGGCATGAGCGATGCCAAAAAAATCATCACGTGATGACATCAATGTATGACAGTAATCGTAATCGCAACAAAAATTGTGACATCATTGAGACGTCATAGACTCGGGCGTGACGTCATATGCTGAACCGTCACACAATACTGCTGTAGCGCCCACCTTTGGGTGGTCAACAAAACCGGAGAGTGCGAGATTTCAAGAAGCGAAAATGAAGAAGGCGCTTGGCAGTGGCACGAAAAGCCACGGCTTGTGTTTTCTGCTCTCTTGTACATCGTCTGAAAGGACAAAGAAGGTGGCTTTGGCCTTCGAGTCGTCTTACGTGAATGCACAAGAAGACCTGTTAGTTTTTGTGGTCATGACTGCAGTACTGGTCTCTTCAAATTGGTCCTGGGCTGTTGTCTTTTTTTATCTGGGTGCCACGTTTTTTCAGGAAGACTAGTAATATGCCATCGCTTAGCGTAACTTCCTTTAAAAATATGCGGCAACTTACACTGTTTCCAACTCACATGGCTAATGCAGGTTGCTTTCTTTCTGTCTCTGCCTCTCTCTCTTTAGTTCTCTCTTTTCCTTTGATCCTCTGTCATCTCTCTCTCTCTCTCTCTCTCTCTCTCTCTCTCTCTCTCTCTCTGTTCGCTTTAATTCTGTCGATTTATCTGTTTAGGTCTTTTCATGCTCTTGTTTATTTCTTTCTGTGAATCTCTGTATTTCTCTCTCTCTTCCTCATTCTGTATCTATTTCTTTTATTTCTCGTTATGTTTTAGTCTTTACCCTCCTCTTTTCTTTCTCCTCCCTGTCACTACTCTTTCCACTCACTTAGCAAGCATACTCGTCTATAACTTTGCTAGCATGCCGGGAACATGGAGTAGTATAATTTTTTTTTTTCAATTAGTCGTTCCTTCCGTCTCGAAATCCGAATTTGTATTCACCGCCAATATGTTGTCTTCATTTTAGGTGGACAGCTGTTGAGCAATGGGATTAGCCTAATTTCTGAGGCAGATATCAGTTGCTGATGATAATAGTTTTTGTAGTACCACGATTTACCTCGAAATTTAACAACTTGGTCGTTGAAAAAAAAGTCTCACGGGTGACCCAATACCTGAAGTAAACAACAACGCCACACGAAGAGGGGTCTCAGAAATGAGCCTTTCGACAAAAAACAGTAAGAATTTCCTCCGGAAGAAGGCCGATTCCCAGCTGAAAACTTCAGCCCCAGCGACAACTGTTGTTCGATAAGTATTGAAATTTTGAGTTTGAGGTGTGAGAAACAAGACTTAGGTATATTTTACAAGATTAATACGAACATTTTCAAGGTTTCTGAGAAGAACTTACTTGAATATGTATAAAATTATTGTTAAATATATTTTGCTTATTTTATAATTTTCAGAACCAGCATACAAAACAGTGCACATTGTCAAGCCTAAATTGCCACGTAAGTAAGTCTCAAGCACGTCAGTCATTCTCTAAGGTAGCCATGTGACCCGTTCTAGTTCAATAATATACACCTAATACACACAACATTAAATATATATATATATATATATATATATATATATATATATATATATATATATATATATATATATATATATATATATATATATATATATATATGGTGTCGCCAGCGATCTTTCGCCAGAATTTTAAGGGCCAGTCAACAGGCTTCACCTATCTTTTTTTTATTTTTTACACCCTTAAAGAAGCTAATGCAAAGGCTTCGTGCTGCAACAGGTGATCGCCTTCTTCCCCATTTCTAACCCCCCAAAAATTTCGGCAATTGATGAAGCAGACCACGGCGATCACGTTTTCCAAATATTACAGCACTGCGCGCCGCGCAGAGACTCCATTTCGGAAAGCAATTACCGTGCTCATTCACTACGCCTGATAAATCCTCCTTTCCCGTGCAGTAACTCAGTCACCTATCGGCGACCTAACATAGTTCCCAGCTCGCCCATTGGATTAAACCAGTCATGACGACGGGTTACACGTTCCCTTCCCCGCGAGAGAAAACATTGGCGAGGTCATGCGAAAATTCGAAACCAGCTGAAACCGATGTTCTAACCCCTGTAACTTCCTTAATACTGCACGCATTCGCAAAATTCTTCCGGTTGCACGTTCACAAAGCAAAAGTGCGCATATTTCTTTTTGATAGCAATTTTCGGACCTCGGAGTTTTTTACTGTCCCTTTGAAAATATGCCGACACAAGCAATGACAACGCAACTAAATGCATACTGTTAATCATTGTCTGGAGAGAGTCACACTGCTTTTTGTATTTTGATTAATTGTCTACTTAACAACTTTTGAAAGAAATAACGTGGGTCAGAATTTTAATTCGGTAAGTGTAGATCGGTTTGCAAAACGTCCGATTAAACAGTTTCGATTGATTTATTGATATATAAGGTTTAACGTCCCGAAGACTAGACAGTTTCAAACTTTATATCCGTTATTAGAGTTTTCATGCTAATTACGAATGCCCGTGAGATAAAAAAAAAACGGGACCGATCCCTATTACTAGGAGTCGGTGTAACACCAAAGTGAAAAGTGCCTTCACAAAGAAAGTTGAGCGGCTTTTTTTGTTTTTTTGTGCATTTTTTTCGCAACAAGGACGAAAAATACATGTTACAGCAACAAACTGCAAAGTCCCATGAAAAAGGACAACCAGTCCGAAACTTGCCGAGCGCATCTCAAGCAGAAAGCACGTGCGACATTAGCATACACAAGACATGCGCCGACTTGAAACTCTTACGTGGACAGTAAAATTGCACTATTGAATTGGAAAGAATGACTCTAGAAATGAACGTACATACACAGGACAAGTGCAAGCAACAGTCACAATTCTTACCTCTTCGTGTGGGAGCAGCGTACTCCTTTCGTAAACGCAGCCACAGCAGCGAGCGAAGTGACCATCATGTTCTCCCGAATCACGAGTCTCTAAGCACACAGGAGAGACCATGCTCTGTGAAGGTGACACGCATTAAAACGCCATACAGGCGACGACCTTCTGAGCACACCCAATGGACACCTTCTGGTAATCTGCTGATGACAAAAGTGCGCTGCAGTTACGGAGCTCTGAGGGCGGCTAAAGGGTATATGGTGTATATAAATAGCTTGCGATTAGCAATCCTGATAACGTACTCTGTGGTTAACGTACGCTGTGGCTTGTCGTTAGCGCTCCGCGCTATTGGTTGAGAGGTCACTGATTCGATGCCCCCAACAATAACTTTCGTTTCTTTCCTTTCTTTTCAATCTGTTATGCCTAGTTCACACTGAAACATCCGCTTTCTACAGCGACCGAAATTCCCCTGCCGCCGAAACGCAGCGTCGTTCGCACTGGACGCGCCCCGCGCCGCCGAATATGCCATCTACCACGGGGCGAACGCGGGATGGATGCGCTGTCACCCGGTTGTTGTCGCGGCTCGCAAACGCCACTACGCTATCCGTTGGTGTATACTTCGACGATTCTCGTACGCAAGAAGCAAGAAAAGACAGTACTGCTTACTTTGCTGGCAAGTGGCTGCCTTGTAATGCACGAAGAGCAGAAAAACCACCGACGCCAGCGGCGTTGCTGGGTTCGTTTTGCTCTGCAAGACCGCAACAAGCTCGGTC